ATTACTAATAAAAAAGTTATGGATAAAAATATAACTTCATAACTATTAGTGAGAATAATTTTGTTCAAAGTTTAAATCAAAGTGACACTAATTTTATTTTAGTTATATTTTAGGGAAAAAAACTTTTAAGAAAAAATTCCCTAAGTAGAACTAAAACAATGATAAAGTTCATAAATTGGACTATCATTATTATATTCCCAAAATAAGACTCGTCCACTCATATTTTGAGAAATTTTAATCAACTTATTCTTTTAATAAGTCTAGATAAGTCATATTTGAGGAATAAAACATATGCAGACATGCAGTCCTATTTTTGCACTTTGTGTATCTTTTGGTTCTATATTGAGCAATTTCTATTCTTTTTTCTACGGTCAAGAATCAATATATTCACTCTACAAATTCAACAAGAAGAAGAAAATTAAAAGATAGATACTATATATGGACCAGCTAGGTTGTAGCTCTAACGTACGGCTTCATCAGTAGAATTGTACAATATATATGATCGGAGCATGATTAATCCTATCAACCGGGACCAAAGACTTAGTGGACACATGAGAATGAAATGCCTAAAAATGAGCATATCATTGTGTGGTTCAACTTTTCTTGTCTTATTATAAATACCCATTTATCATCTCCTAACAATCCATCAATCTATACTTTCATGAGAAAGTGAAAAAATACCTTCAAAATAAAATAAAAAAAAATAAAATAAAAACAAAGGAAAATAAAGGATGGGTTCTAAGGCGACCCAGGTTGCATGGATACTGCTTTGTGTAGTATATGTATTTGGAAGAGTCGATGCAGCTGAATTTAACGTCAAAACATATGGAGTTAAAGGTGATGGTACATCCGATGATAGCGAGGTACACATAATTATATAAAAGAATTAATAATTAAGTAGCGAAGCTAGAATGAATATATTTGTATGTCAAATTAAACTCTAATGTAATAACATATTAACATGGTTTTATTTTTGGATTAGGCAATTCTTAAAGCATGGGCAGACGCATGCAAAGCAACAGATGCAAGCACTCTTGTAGTTCCTGCAGGAAAGTACATGGTAGGTCCCATGAAGCTCATGGGCCCATGCGGGAATCCTATAACTTTCAAAGCCGATGGTGCAACTTTTATTGCACCAACTGATCTCACAAGGTTTAAAGGACAAGACGGGTGGATCCTTTTCTATGGCATTGAAGGTCTCACTATCTCTGGTGGTACTCTCGACGGTAAGGGACAAGACGCTTGGAAAGCAAACAACTGCAAGAAGAGTTTCAGTGGAAATTGCAAATTCCTCCCCATTGTAAGTATGACATTTCTTTCTAACATTATATGTTACATGGAGATGTGGGAAGCATGCGGAAACGTGCAACGAGTAATATAATATTTTAATAACAATAAAAGTGTTTGGCGGTTTCTCAAGAGTTTTTGAAACATAAACATACTTGTTCCTAAGATTTAGGTTCTCCATAGTTTACAATTAATCAATTAACCTCACCTTTTAACATAAATATGCATTTGCAATGTGTTACAGAACTTGAATTTGGGAGGATTGACCAACGCGGAAGTGAAAGGCGTAACATCTTTAGACAGCAAATTTTTCCACATGAACGTCATCCAGGGTAAGAACGTGACCCTTAGTGACATCACCATCACAGCACCGGCAGACAGCGCAAACACTGACGGCATACACATCGGTCGCTCTGATGGAGTTTCAATCCTCGGCGCAACCATAAAGACCGGTGACGATTGTGTATCTCTTGGGGACGGCGCCAAGCAGGTTAACATCGAGAATGTGAATTGCGGCCCAGGCCACGGGATCAGCATCGGAAGCTTAGGAAAGTATAAAGACGAACAACCGGTGGAAGGAGTGACCGTGAAGCACTGCACCCTAACCAACACAGATAACGGCGTGAGAATTAAGACATGGCCAGCGTCACCAGAAGGGATTGCCTCCGGCATGCACTTTGAGGATGTCACCATGGAGAATGTAAGCAACCCAATATTGATTGACCAAGAATACTGCCCCTGGAACCAGTGCACCGCCGGGGTTCCATCCAAAGTGAAGATCAGTGACGTCAGCTTCAAGGGCATTAAGGGTACGTCTGCTACAAAAGTGGCCGTGAAACTCGCCTGCAGCAAAGGAGTGCCGTGCGAGAAGGTAGAGGTGGGTGATATCAATTTGGAATACAAAGGAACCAACGGCACCGCCATCTCCGAATGCAACAACGTCACACCAACGCTCACCGGTAAACAATTCCCCGCTGTTTGTGCACCTGGCGGAGCCGCAGCCGCAGCCCCAACCCCAGCTTAAACAAAATAATATATTCAACCCTAAATAATAAATTAATTATATAATATAATAGTTAAAATAATTTTTTTATTATACCAGCTAGCATGCATGTTTTTTACATGTATAATGTATAGAAAGAGAGACTAAGTATGTTAATTCATTCATTGCCCCTTCGTGCCATGTTTAATTTACATGTACGTCTGAGTGGTGATATTTGTCGTTATTATTTTAACATGTATTAATAAAAGTTATTTTTGTGGACACTTGTGGTTAATTTTTTTATTTCTATTTTTAGCGTAAAAATGGACATATATATAATTATACATCAAAACAACACTTCATTTTGAGTATAGTGAAGTAAGTAAATCTGTAATGATTTATTTGGAGGACTTGCTTGTAATTTTAAAACTAATAGTTTATCATTGGAATGTTTTTTTCCTTTCACGGGAGGAAGCTAATTAGCCAAAATGAGTTACTAGCTTGAGGAAGAAAAATTATTAAATATATCATCTGTCCCATAAAACTAGGTCAAAGTTCTTTTTTCGGCCGCCCCCTAAAAACTTCTTCATTTATATGTAAAGTAACAAATATGTAGCTAAAATTATTTTTCTCATCTCTGCACAAATATTAACCACATAGTTTTTATTTTATTATTTTAAATGCAAGTTAATTTTGGTCAAGTTTTATAGGACGGCCACGGATGGAGTATAACATTATTACTACCCTTGTCTCACTAACATTGGGACAAGAGGAAGTGAAACAATTATTCGAAAAGTGAGTTAATATTATTGATATTGAATTGTTAAAATAAAAAAATAAAGTAAAAGTGATTTAAAGGCACATAAACTTTTCCGAATTTAGAATGTAACAATCTTAGTGGGATTTCTCGAAAAGATAAAATGGGACAATCTTAACGTAACGGAGGGAGTAATACACAATGAAGAAGAATAAGTTATAGTTAACTGTTGGAGTACATTTTACTTTGAAAATAATTTTGCTCCAAATGTTTATGTGGCTAATTAAGTCATAAAGACAATAAGATGAATTTAGTAAAAGTTTAACTGTTAACCTAGCCACCTAGGGGAACAAGTTAAAATTATTTATAAGGAGAATTTATCTCTAGAAACCTCTAATTCATAATTTTTCTATAATGGATTATTCATGATTTTCATATTTTATTCTCATAAGTTAAGTATTTTTAATCAGAAAGTGCCTAATATAGGAGTAAACATAAACATAATTGCATAAATAGGAGTAAAACTTAAAACTTACCTCAATAGGAGTAAACATGAATTTTCTACCCATAATACTCCTAATCTAAGGGATAATAACCCTAAATAGGACTAAATTAATCACTAAATGCAACTATAGAATTATGTTGTTAATCTTCCCAAAACAGGACTAAAGTATACTCTATCTTCCTATTTTACTTTTACCATAACTTAATAGGATAATCATATTTTAATGTGTTATGAAAAAAAATATAATAAAAAATATTTTAATATAAACAAAAATCGTAAAAAAAATAAAAAATTCTAAAACATTTTTAAAAATTTTAAAATAATAAAAATTATAAAATCAAAAAATAAAATAATAGATAAACACATGAAAAAAAATATTTAAAAAATTTGAAGACCTTTCTCGCAACCTCAACCATTGCCTGACAATGCCACCTCTGATCGACAAAAAATGCCTTTTTGTGTAAAAATGTCATTGTGTAAAAATGCCAACCTCAACCATAAGTTCTCACAATGCCACCTCTCACTTTTCTCTGAAAATCCCATGAAAATGGCATTGACATTCTTTAAAATGTCAAAATTTTCTCGAAAACTATCATCAAGATGACATTTTTTACACATGTTGATATTTTTCCCCGATGGACGGAGGTAGTGGTGCTGGGGAGGTTGTTGAGGCGGCAGGAGAGGGGCTTTATATTTTTTCTTTTTACATTTTTCATCTCTTATTTGATTTTTATTAATTTTTTATTTTATAATTTTTTACTTTTCTAATTTTTTATGTTTATTAATTTTATTTAATACTACCTCCGTCCCATAAAGAAGTTCTCGCTTTCCTTAAATGGATGTCCCAAAAAGAAGTTCTCATTTCCATAAAAAGAAACTACTTTTATCCCAAAAGTCACAAATGCCCTTACTTTTTACCCTTTTTTTTTGCGTGATTTGACATAAAGTAAGGATAAACTTGGAAAGTCAAAACAAAACACTACATTATATAAATATGTGTGTAGGTCAAAACGGGAACTTCTTTACGGGACGGATGCAGTATATATTTTCGTGTTTTTTATTTTTTACATTTTTATTATAAATAAATTAATGTTATTGCATACTTTTGAGTTTTAATTATTAATGAAAGTGTGGTTGGGGGCTGGGGCTGGGGCTTGGGTAGGGATATATTTGTGCATACACTAGAATTAATCCAATTCAAAACATAAAAATCTTGTTTTTATATTTTGCCTGTGTTTTACTCCTATTAGGGAAAATTACCCCTTTTTAATCTATATTCTTATCATTAGATAATACATGGTTTTCAAATAAAATCATTAGATAATAAACAAAGAGTATATCAAAAATAAAATCTAGAAGAGTTATCAAGCTTACTTCCTGTCGGGATTCAATTTAGAAGAATATAAATTCAAGGGTTTCAACTAGAAAAACTAGCGTTTATGTGGGAAAATAAAAATAAAAAGAAATGCAAAAAACTACCGACTAAAATTTCACACACGTCCAGTATTTCGCGGGCCTGATCGGTTAAACGGGTTTTTCTCTGTTCCTTCTACATTGCCATCTCACTGTCTTCTCTCTCAGTTCCCGGAGGAGTACGGCGGCGATCAGTCAGGAAACGAAGATGAATTCTTCAATCACTTATCGTCGTCTCCGCCCTCAACGACGACGGTTTGATCATTGATTCCTTAAGGTTAATCTCAGCGACGACATTTCGTTTTATTGTCCATATCACGTTTGAAGAATTGAATCAGATTATACACTTTCATCCATCATACCTAAGATGAATGTGGTCATATTCATATGCGTTTACCAGGAAAAGTAAACATGCATAATGAACATTAAACACAATGTTCACCCGACCTGCTGCTAGCTAGATTCATATAGCCATATTGAAAAAATCTTCGAATTATATTTCATCATTTCATATAATCTATGTAGCATGGAAACTTCCGGGAAGGAGTACGTTTCTATTTCAAAAACTCTACGGAAACTCTTCGAAAACTCTCAAAATAGTTGTTTTTCTAAAAAAATACTCCTTATGATGTTTCCCGTTTCACGTTTCCCTATGGTTCATGCGTTTCCGTGCAGCATAGCATGTAATGTATTCCTCATACGACTTTGTGCACTAAATTTCTTTGTTTCAGCAGGAGATTAATCATTCATTGATAGCTTGGTCGATATATCTGAATTGATAAAAGGGGAAACGGGAGGAAAATGTCTAGCTATGAGGGTGTTCTAGTTTCTGATCCATGGCTTCAGGGTCAATTTACTCAAGTTGAGCTGCGTGACCTCAAATCCAAGGTATATCCAATAAAATTATTCCTACTTCTATTTTATTTCTACCCTTTTTTTTGTTAAATATCCGACCTTTATTAGAGATTGAGGTTGAAACTCCCACTCTTACATGTGATTGGGCTTCTCTTAAACAAGTTATGATTCCTGAAATGTTTGTTGTCATATCAACTTCTATATTAAAGTTCTTGCATGGGATTCTTATTATAATGTCACTAAAACAAGTCATGGACAAAAAAATGACTATGCCCAATGTTATCATTGGACTCGTTGCGTTGGTCAGATATGGTCAGATGTACTTAAAGTTAATGGTCACTATGTAGAAGAAGTTAATACATTTGTCCACGGGTTTTCTTCAGTAATATATTTTTCATCATTTCTTCTTTTTATTTTATATATATTTAATGTGGTTATTGATGGTGAGCCCTGAACTTTTATTCGGTGTAACAGTTTCTTGCAGCGAGAAACAAATCACAGACAGTTACTCTGGGAGATCTGCCTACAATTATGACCCAACTGAAGGCCTTTAGTAATGTGTTCAGCGAGGGGGAAATTAAAGCCATATTGTCTGAGACATCTTCTGACTTGAAGGAAGAAATTGATTTCGAATCCTTTCTTCGGGTGAGTATGAGGTGCTCTCTTAGTACAAATAGTCAATAATAGATCCTTAATAGGCTTTCTCGTATTCATGTCATTTTCATCAAGTAAACTCTCTATTGTGTTGTTCATGAGGCCCCAAAGGGCTGATTCGTTTTTGGATAGGCATTTCTGAATCTTCAGGCAAGGGCTCCAACTACATCAGGCAATTCTAAACTTAAAACCACCACCTCTTTTCTCAAAGCTACCACAACAACACTTAGACATATCATTAGTGAATCAGAGAAGGCCTCTTATGTGGCACACATCAATGGTTTTCTGGGAAATGATAAATTCTTGAAAGATTATCTTCCGTTAGATCCATCAACCAATGCGATGTTTGAACTTGCTAAGGATGGTGTTCTTCTGTGGTAAGGAAGAATCTCTAGCTTAACATCACTTTACTTACCCTAGCGGCTATTAGCATGCATGATTTTTATTCCTTTAATCATTTGGTATTGTGCAGTAAGCTCATTAATGTTGCTGTTCCCGGAACAATAGATGAACGAGCCATTAATACGAAGAAGTTTCTTAATCCGTGGGAAAGAAATGAAAATCATACACTTTGCCTCAATTCTGCAAAGGCCATTGGTTGCACAGTGGTCAACATTGGTACACAGGATCTAGTTGAAGGAAGAGTATGTCAAGGCTAATTTTTAACTATTTTGCTAGTACAATCTTGTTATACATCTTCGCCTTCAATATAAAATCTGATGGAATTCTTCACCCTTTCTTTCTTATGGTTGTTATTTACTAGCCGCATCTCATCCTTGGATTGATTTCTCAAATAATCAAGGTATGCTCCTACTCCAAATCATTTGAGAACCGATGAACTACTGAAGTTTAATCAGCTCTCAATGTACTTAATTTTTGTTTCTGATCACCAGATACAACTCTTAGCTGATCTCAATCTGAGGAAAACTCCACAACTTCTGGAGTTGGCAGAGGATAGTCAGGTTGGTAGTCACTGATTGACTTTTCTTTGGTTTATTACAAATAATGCATTGCATTGATAACAGGTTGGTATAATTAAAAGTGAAATTTGCAGGACGTGGAAGAGCTCCTCAGCTTATCTCCTGAAAAAGTTTTGCTTAAATGGATGAATTTTCATCTGAAAAAAGTTGGCTACAAGAAGCAGGTCACAAACTTCTCCTCTGATTTGAAGGTGAGGTGTTTCAGTCTAGATGCTTCTAAAGTTATACTGCTTGTATTGAAAAGAGTCAATTCCCTAAATAGGACTAAAAAGTGGCAAAATTGCACAAATAGGACTACATTTTTTAAATTTCCTTAATAGGACTATTTATGTGTGTTTGGCCAAATATACCCTTGTAACTTGTGAAATGTTTTAATTAATAATAAAATCATACAAAAATAATAAAAATCGAAAAAAATACTAAAAATCGTAAAAATATAATAGAAAATTAATAAAAATATTTTTTAAAAAAAATTAAAAAAAATATTTTTTTAAAAAAAAATAAAAAAAATAAAAAAAATCGTAAAATTAAAAAAAAAAAAAACATTACCACCCCTGCCACCCCCGGCACCACCAGCTCCCATCACCGGAGAAAAATATGCCAACATTTTAAATAATGCCATAATGATGGCATATTCAATGAAAATGTTGGCATATTGAAGAGTAATTATGCCATCTTTTTGGCATTTTCAGAAAAAGATGGCATTTTTTTACCAAAAGTGGAAGAAATTTCACCAACCGGAGGTGGTGGTGCTGGGAGGCGGCGGATGGCGGTGGGAAATGTATCCATAATTTTTTTCATTTTTTTATGGGTTTTTACTATTTTTTATTATTTTTTTAAAAAAATTTAAAAAAATAAAAATTAAATTTTTTATTTTATAAATGTTTTATAAATTTTTTATAATTTTTTTACGTTTTTTAAATATTTTTTACGTTTTTTTATGATTTTATTATAAATTAAAGCATTTCATTATGAATTAATACTCTTAGGGGTATTTAGGGTAGAAAATCTATGTTTAGTCCTATTTAGGGAATTTAAAAAGTAGTAGTCCTATTTGTGCTTTTTAGGAACTCATTAGTCCTATTTAGGACAATTTCCGTATTGAAAAGAAAATATATAATATTTATATAATAAATATGCACATGTTTCTGGAGTTCATGTGGTGTACCTATATGAAGTCAAAAGTTGATGAATCTGCTGTTTCTGTACCTATATGGGTACATAAAAAGAAAACTTTCGGGTAAGAAATAGAACTGCTTGGAAACCCTTAATTCATGAATGGTAATTATCAAGTCCTCACCAATGAACTTTGAAGTTCAACAAAATGCATTTATTTACACATTCCCAGTATAAAACGCTTGTTAACTATGTTGCAGAAATGCTGGAATATATTTATAAAATATACTCCTAATAATCTATTTTATTGGCAGGATGGAGAGGCCTATGCTCACTTGCTTAATGCTCTTGCACCAGAACATGGAACAAGCAGCACACTTGATGCAAAGGATCCTACTCAAAGAGCAAATTTAATTCTTGAGCAAGCAGACAAATTGGATTGTAAAAGATATGTTACGGCAAAGGATATTGTCGAAGGATCAACAAATTTAAATCTTGCATTTGTTGCTCAGATATTCCAACGCAGGTCAGATGATCTTTTTCAAACTAAATCCTCCAAACAACCCTCAAGAGTGAACACTCATTTATCAACCACATAAAAATATAAGATTATAAGAAAAATAAATTTTTATTTTATCACTGAACATGATTTTACCTTGTTTATTTAAGTAAGTTCATATGGAGTGAAAATATTCCACTATTGCTCCCCTACATTTTATTTTTTCTACTTTTGGTGCACCTTTTTTTTCAGTTTTGGTCCCTCCAATCACAAAACTGACCAATTTTCACAGAATCCCCGATTGGTAAGTGACTGGAAAGGACCAAAAGTTGCACAAATTCACATCCGTGCCCCAAACGTGGAGCCAAATTAAAACCCGGCTACCAAAGGTTGAAATGGCCTAATAATCAAGGGACCAAATTGGAGTACTTTCTTGTGGAATCATATGATTATTTTTCTTTGTAACATGGATTGGGTTTATACAAATGGTATCTATGTTCATCTCATTTTAGTACGGAGCATAATGCTTGGTTTGGCTTCAATAGTTAATGACAAGATGCACTTGTGGTTTTGTATTGCAGAAATGGATTGTCCGTAGAAAACTCAAAGTTATCTTTTGCCACAATGATGACCGACGATGATCAAACTTCAAGGGATGAAAGATGCTTCCGGTTGTGGATCAACAGTCTTGGAGTTGACACATATGTGGACAACTTATTCGAGGATGTTCGGAATGGGTAACTATGGTTACATGCCTCTTGTTGCTGCAAATACGGAGTAATATTTTAAGTTAGTAACCCTTATAATACACAACACACAGGTGGGTTCTGTTGGAAGTGCTTGACAAAGTTTCGTATGGATCAGTTAACTGGAAGCAAGCCACTAAACCTCCAATCAAGATGCCATTCCGAAAAGTTGAGAACTGCAACCAAGTTATAAGGATTGGAAAGGAATTAAATTTCTCTCTGGTGAGTGTACAAGGAAATGATATTGTACAAGGAAACAAGAAGCTCATATTAGGTAAGCACATTCTCCAGTGGTGAATGAGGAGTTATTTTACTTGATTATTCTGATTCCTTTCTGGGGGCGATTTTTGCGGCCAGCTTTTCTGTGGCAGTTGATGAGGTTTAGTATGCTCCAACTTTTGAAGACCTTGAGATCTTACTCTCAAGGAAAGGAGATAACCGATACTGACATACTAAGTTGGGCAAACAGAAAAGTGAAGAGTGCAGGCAGGAAAAGGCAAATGGATAGTTTCAAAGTATGTACAAACCTTAAAAATGTGATTTCACACATCACTTTCTATTTAAAGAAAAAAGCACACAACACCTTATTAATTTCGCTGTGATTGCTGCAGGACAAAAGTCTTTCAGATGGACTGTTCTTTCTTGAACTTTTAAGCATTGTGGAGCCAAGAGTTGTAAACTGGAGCCTCGTCACCAAGGGGATAACAGGTAGAACATCTTTAAACAACAGCTTCATTATTTTTCTATACAAGGCATATATCATATTTTACGGCTTCATAGTTTATTTTTAAACCTGGAACAAACACAGTAAGTGTTACACTTTGGCAGATGAGGATAAGAAGCTAAACGCGACATATATCATCAGTGTTGCTCGGAAAATCGGATGCTCAATTTTTTTGTTGCCAGAGGACATAATGGAGGTAGTAAAGATGTTCTATTCGTCGTCTTCTTCATGAATGATTACATTATAAGTGCAAACATACATATGCATTTGTGTTTGTTTTCTAAACATAGTTAGAAATGCACTGCTGCTATAAATGTGTCCCCTTTGGAACAGGTGAATCAGAAAATGATTCTGACATTGACAGCAAGTATAATGTACTGGAGCTTAGAGAAGAAAGCAAAGGAGTCCGAGAGCGGTTCATCCTCTCCTATGCGGAACAACAATGAGCAGTCTCCTGCCACAACAACTAAGGAATTATCCTAAACAGAAAGTAAATAAATTCATCTTATAATATTCGCTCAACACATCATATCTTAATGAGTAAGCTACAATCTACATCATTGCTAGAATTTGGCCCAACAAAATTGATTGACAACAAAGAACGCTGCAAAGACCAATGCACTAATTGTATTTCATTAGTGATTCCAGATGCTCTCCAGTCTCCACATGTGAAAAAACCCAGTATTTGAATTCCTCGGAAAACCCTCCCACATCTCCACATGAGTTGGATCACTTAGCCACGCTTCATAATGAGCACCATGAAAACACAGAACATGATAATCCTTTGCTACATATACATATGGTGAACATATATGTGTGTGGGTCAGTGGGTGTATGTTTTCTAATTGCGTCTTTTTTCCCTTCAGAGTTAAAATGCTACTATGTATATTTTATTGGGTTCTTCTCATGTAGATGAGACTCATGAGAGGAAAGATGCTGATATGAATATACTGTAAACATTAATTTTGAGTGATGCCCTAATGCAAGACATATAGAAATTGTATTTGGTGTTTTACTTAAATTATGAATGATGGTAAATGATACAATGAATTATATATGAGGGCCAAATATTCACTCACTCACCAGGGGTTGACGACATTATTTGGTTCACCAGTGATATGATACCATTAGAATCATTACAATAGTGTGTTACTGGCCGGCTACATTCATTACATCATCTTGTAAGAACAATAATTCATCATTATATTAACTTTATCTTAAGTATATAAAAGAAACTTAGTTATCAAATACCTAACAATTAAATTAGAACCACACAAAAGTGTTTTACTTTAAATTAGGGGTGAACTCAGTCCGGTACATTAGGACCGGCCTGTTCTGGCCTCTGGGTCACATAATAGGGGTACTGGAAGTCTGGAACCTAAATCACTGGACTCGGAGCGGATCTTTAAAACCATTAGCCTAACTTTTCGAAAACAACAAACAGAGACCAAAACCAGCCTAGTCCTACTTTGGAAGAACCAGAACCTGGTTGGATCAGTTCAGGAACCGGAAATTGAGTCCAGTTTTTGCGAAGAAACAACCAGGACAGGTCCGGGTCCGCACCTACTAAAATAGTCTTTGGGACTTAGGAGCAAAAAATGCTGCCATACTTATCCAACCACTTTGCACAATGCCAGCCCTACTTTATCGATGTGGATAAGATCAATCCTTTATATTTGTTCTACATTTCAGTATACTTTTCAGAGAGATTAACAAGGGTAGGCATACCCATTAAGAATGAATGAATAAATAGAGTAGTAATTATGAACTCACTGTAAAACATTATTTCAAGCCTACTATAGAGAATCAGCTTCAATCCCATTATCATTCAGCACCATTGATCCCATCCTCTCGTGTTCAGACGCCAAATGCATAAGCATCTCAAGACGCTTATCAAAAATCAAAGCACTCTCATCTCTTTTGTCCAGCTCAGCAGCTTCAGCTTCAAGCCACTTCTCTCTCAAATCATCCAGGACATTCGCACCTTCAGCCGCTGTGCTTATCTCAGCTCCCGGTGCACTCGGTGCGGACGTGCGGAGTGTGGAATTCCCAGAAGGTGGTGGCAAGGTCAACAGCATAGCCCTAAACTCCGGCATCTCCGCGAATATCTCAAAGTTACAAGCCATTACATCAAGACAATACTCCCGTATCTTCAGCACTCCATACCTGTTGGATGGGCCGGATTAAAAGAAAAATCAGTTCGACGTGACTCGCCCCAATTTAAACAATTTACCACAGAAATGATTCTCCAAATAATTTATCGCGTATACAAACAGAACATGAAGTTGACATTAAGTCCAAAGTAAAACCAATAGAATGCCAAGTAGGCAAGTAGTATATATGCGCACACATGCAAGTAGGGCACTCGAAAAGGATGTAGGCATAGCAATAAGAAAAATATGTACTACCTGTAACATAACCCTATAAAAGCCGGTTGCTTTTTAAACATGCTTCAAGTACGAACCCCATAGCAATAAGAATTCATATACGCATCTAAAACCTTAACTTGATTGCAATACATAATTTATAAATTAGGCTTAGGAATAATTTTCAAACCTTAACTTGCTTTTTGCTTGAACATAAGAGAAAGAAACAAATACATACATGTCTGACAAAACCAGCCAACGACATAGGTCAACAGGAGGCACCATTTCCAGATGTGGCAGCAAAGCATCTGCTACTGCACGCTTAAGAGGAAATAACAAGTATCTTGAAGCAGCATCAAACAATTCTTCAGCCTGATTAATCAAATTATATATAAGCACTAATTGTATGAGAAAAAACACACTAATGATGGCTACAGAGTTTAACAGCATACCTGATCTGGATCTATGTCCTTCAAGCCATCTGTATACCTGCTAGTTAAGAGAAAATTGTATTAATTATCATTCCTATAAATACAGACACACAGGAAATAATGTACTATAATTGCAGTATTGAAATTTCATCCCATTAAACCTTTAAAAGAAGGTTATGGCAGAAGGATATCTGGCGTAAAACCTTCTGTGTGCTTTTTTACATGATTGTGTAGTATATACTACTAATTTAAATAACTACTCCGTATTATTATTGTTATAGCCACTATAAGAGGCTGTCTGGTAAACCCCTTTTTCATCAAACACTAACTTACTACTAACTTATTCATGTGTTGGTATTTGGTAATTAAAAAAATGAGCAAGAGTTATAATATTGGTTGAAGTGGCCAAAACTGACTAAAATGGCATTTCGATCTTTATTTTTTTCATTATTTTATTCAAGAACTATATTTTAAACAGTTTTTAGATAATTCAACCGATTCAGTCACTGCAGCCATTTTAGGCCTAACCAACGGGCTTGAAATTTCATGTCCCCAACCCAAGTAGTTGGTTTACTGTGGTGGGGGAAAATAACAGAGTAACAACTTACATATACTCTATCATTTTCTCAAAAGCTCCACCACTTAAGTCATGTTCCTCGAGACACAATATTGTACTATCAGGTAAGCCATTACTTCCTTCAAGGAAGTCCTTCATGCGAGATAACCTTGCCTTAAAATACTCAGACCTTGAAGCTAAGATCACTTGATGGCACCGAAAAACCTTCCCTTCAACTTTCACACAAACATCTGCAAGATCATCATCTTCAGAATCATCAATCATCCGCTTAGAATTGGAAAGAGATGTTTGGAGTACGCGATGCAATGCAGTTGAGAGACGGTTTTCTTCTGGAAGTGATAGTCCCTGCAAAATAAACCGCTTTTGAGAGTTATCTATATCTCTGACGGCTTTATAGTCAGCATATCTTTGATGAATCTGCTCTTTCTCTAGGAGAATTTGCAATGACTCGCATTTGCAGACTTTGCAAATCCTGACAAGATCTTCCATATCATCTACTGCTATCTCAAGTCTGTCAGAATAAAAGAAGTGGATGAGGCTGTAGAGAGCAGGATATGAGAGCTTTTCCCTTGAGAACCGGATTTCTTTGCGATCCTTCCATTCCGTTTGAAACTTTTTCTTGAAAAAGGGTGACCTTGCACTCAAAATGACTCTATGAGCTTCAATGGGCTTCCCTTGCAAATAAAACACAACATCTGGTGGAAAGTGGGTGGAGCTGAAACCTCCTCCATTACCTGTTAGATAATTTTAGTATGCAATATTTCAAGTGCATTAATTGATCTAATAAGAATGAAATAGTCTGGAACAAACATAATTTACAACAAATTCCAATATTGCAAGGAATTTAGGTTTCATATGGTAATGTTTTTGTTTCCTGGTTTCTATTTTCGTTTCCACTTTTTTCAAATCAGAAACAACAAATTGTGTGATTGTACAGAAGAAGAATAATATTCTGGAAGAAAACAAAAAACAAAATCAGAATCTAGAAAATGCTACTCCGTATGATACAAAAATTTCATTTACAGAAACACATTTCCTGTTTTGACACCCGTCATAAAACATCTGGATATTATGTAAAGTGGAATACTTTCATAACGAATTATATACTTGGAATATATACACAGAACAGATTTACCAAACACGTTTTTATATAATTTGAATGTCTGAAGACAAAACAAAACAAAAAGAACACAAAATTTCAAAGCATACAGACATGTTTTATACGAATAGAATTTTGGAAAATCAAACAAAAGAAAACAAAACAGAAAATAACAAAACATCCCACTTTACCAAACTAAACCTTAGCTACATGAGTCCTTGAGATCTTGAGGCAGTGAATATTCAATGAAACTCTCATGAATTTATGCTTTTAGTACACATTCACGTGTTGAAAACTCTCAGACGGAACAACTTTGTGATAAAAGAACCCTCTCAGACCATTTACAGAAAATTCACCCATTTCGTAAAGTCATTCCCCATCTCCAGTTGAGAACACCACTGTGGCACTGGGGTAGCCCGTAGTTTGTCATGCAAACACAAACTTTTTTGTTGGCAAGAAAAATGTAAAAGCAAAACTATAAAGTGTTTTTATAGCTCTTAGATATATGATCCGTATAAAAGTACCTCTTCTAGTCTCTAGGTGTTATTCCTAGAACATAAAAAGCACATTTAACCTTGATTCTCTTTTATAATTGTCCACTTTAAAATTCATATGTGGAGCAATTTGTTATTCTATTTATTTATTTATACTTTTTTTTTTAAAGAATACTTTTGTTATAGTTTCAGCAACTCAGCAAGATAATACCTTTATTATGGACTAGTGGAAATTATAAGCGTTGGTGAAATTACCTGCAATTGAGGAGTCCGAAGCCTCAGATATTTGCTCAGCTGCATATCCGCGAGCATTGGCGGAGCATCCCAAAAAGGTTTCCCTGAGGGCGGCCTGCAGGGGGGCGAGAGGGGGAGGTCGAGCCTCAAAGGCCTTGAGGAGCTTCCGGACATTCAAATTGAGGGCGGCGTAGTGACACCGGTCGCCGTCAAATGTGTGCTCCGAGCAAATGGCGCCGCTTTCCAGGAGCATCCTGGCTGCGTCGAGGTGACCGGTGAGGCAGGCGTAATAGAGTGCGACGGAGTCCCACTGGTCTCTGTCGTTAATGTTGACGCCGGACTCGAGCAGGTAACGGAGGCGGTCGACGTCGCCGGCCCTAGAAGCCTCGAAAACATCTCCGTATGGTACTTTCCTCAGCGGTACTGAAGACTCGAAGTCCTCAAGTTCTGGATCAATGTCGTCCAAATCAGACATGTGTTTTTCATTCAGCACAGCACCTCTCCATTTTCTGCCTTTGTGGTTCTTTATGCTTATTAAACGGGATAAGGGTCAGTTTGGTCCTCGAATTGCAAAAAAGGGTCAAATAAGTCCTTATATAGAAGATTCTGTCCGGACGTGCCATTTGAGGTGGCTCCCGGTGGAATTTTTTGATGAAATTTTTTGAACATCTTATTCATTAAGTCTAGTTATTGAAGATAACTGTGCCGTTAAAAGCGTTGTTATCTTCAAGAATTCATTTGAATGTCTTCCCGATTGAATTTTTAGCTGAAATTTGGTATGAGTAAACTAGACTTAATAGATAAGATGCTCAAAAAAATTTATCACAGAATTCCACCAGGAGCCACCTCAAATGACACGTCCGGACAGAATCTTCTATATAAAGACTTATTTGACGCCTTTTTTGCAAAACTGGTCTTTACTCAAAACTAAACCAACAAAAAACGGATTTTCGAAAAAACAAACGAGTTGTCGATGTTTGGGCCTTTCGGGTGTTTTTCAAATTTTATGCCTTAATGGGTTTTGACTTTTGATACCCTTTAAGACTAATTTAGTATAATTTGATTTTTTTTTTAACTTGATGGAGGGGAAGATACCCCAGGCCTCAAGAGAGGTCTCTCACAATCACATTTCTAGTCCAGCTACAACCCATTTCGTCCTCTTTCAGTGCACTGCACACTTCACTCGGAGGTTCCTTAAATTCCTTCCACTTCATCATCTGATTTTATAAATATTTGATCATTATGTATTTATTATAACTATCAAAATCTCGTATGATCTGAGTTGTTCTTGATTATAATGAAAAAAGTCCAAATTAAAAACTTTTTAAATATAATTTATTTATCAAGATATGACTAAAGTTAATACTATACTATACGGAGTAGTTTTTTTAGAAAACATTTATTTTAAACACTGAAGTTTTTCAAAAAAAAAAACTTTCAATAGGTTATGGGTATATATTAGGGTTTTAAGCTAATCAAATACGTAGTATATTTGATTCAAAAAAAAAAAACACCTACTATATATAGTTTAATTCATGATTCGAATCCACATTTGTTTGTGTGCTTTCTCCCTCAACTGCATACAACTATTTGAATTCAAAAAACCTCAAATAAAAATATGGGAAAACTGTCAAATAGGTCTTCGAACTTTCATAAAAAAGTCAAATAAGTCCTTATATAGGATGCTTTGTCCGGCCATCGTGATTTGGGACGGTTCGTGGTGGAATTTTTTGATGAAATTTTTTGAGCATCTTATTCATCAAGTCTAGTTTACTCATACCAAATTTCAGCTAAAACTAATTTGAATTAACGCATTCAAATTAATTCTTAAAGATAACCGTGCAGTTAAATGCGCAATTATCATAAAAAAAATTAATTTAAATGCATTCACGATTGAAGTTTTAGCTGAAATTTGTTATGAGTAAACTAGACTTGATGAATAAGATGCTCAAAAAATTTCATCAAAAAATTTCACCGGGAACCTCCCCAAATCGTGACGGCCGGATAGAGCCTCCTATATAAGGTAGACTTGTGTCACTCCCTCTCTCTTGTACCATTGTTAATTGAAACAAAACTTAGATGTAAATGCAAATAGAGAACAAAAAATATTATTTGAATTTAAATCGAAATATCAGTACTTTAGATTTTCTAGCCTAATCTTTGAAATTTTATTATAATAGTTAATTTTTTGTACTATAGTTATTTTATTTATGAATCCCTGAATTATATATATTTGCAAATTAAACCCTATATTTTTATTATTTTGGGACGGAGGGAGTAACCATCAATATTAATCCGTACATTATTAATCCGTATTGTAACTGATGAAAATTTTCAATTGGCTTATGAAAATACTCGTATCATACTCCGTAGCATTTTTAATACTCTCCCCAAAATAAGTTCTCATATTTTTGGGAAATTTTGTGTGAACTTTGATTACCTTTTTTATACTCAACCACAATCATATTTTATATGTGGAATGTTGTAAAATTTTGATAAATTTTTGACATATAGATACATAAATCCTAAATCCAATACTTCCGAACAAAGCAGCTGCCTGAAGTCCTGAACACAGAACAAAGCTCCATTTAGTTTATCCAATATACGGAGTATATTACTCGTAATATATACTCCGTATAATACTCCCTCCGTCCCAAAAAAGTTGGTCATTTCCATTTAAAGTAAGGAATGTGTGGCTAAAGTTAATTCTCCCTCCTCTGCACAAATTTTAACCACACAATTTTTACTTTATTAATTCACGTGCAAGTCAACATTGGCCAATGATTTTGGGACGGAGGGAGTAACCATCAATATCCCCTAAGCACAGAACAAAGCACCAAGATCCCTCGGAAATTTCACATCTTTCATATTTTCATTTTCTTTTTGACAATTTCATTTTTGAGATCTGAGAAAAGGAAAAGACTTTATTACTCAAAACGTAGTAGATCTCAAGGCATTTCCTCTTCATCTGGGAACAGGGAACTCCTCAACATCCTGGAAGTTGTTCTCCATGCCATAATGTTGCTGTTCTTGAACTGGATTCTTAAACTATCACCAACATTTTAAAAAATTTCAAATAGGCTTTTCCATGAAATCTTTGACATCGTAGTGGTATTTCTCATTTTCTAAGGTCTCGTGTCACTCATCCCTTGCTCTTGAATGCAGTTTGCGTCAGTGCCTTTACCATTGTATTTCAAGTGGCTTACGCCGGCGGTGGAGCTAGTGTGAGTTTCAGTGAATTTGTCTTGCTTGATTCTTGATTGTTGAGGTAGCTATTAGTTGTTACTACGTATTTGTTAAAGTTGCCGGCGGCGGCGGCAGACCCAACGGTGAAGTCCTTGCCCACTGATTGTTCTTTGCTGATGCTGTTGTACCGTTGTACGGGTTGTTATCGTCTTATCAGCATCGGTGGTGAGAGTGAATTATGGGCAGGCTTGGACATAATGGAGAAGAGGGACTTTATCCTACAGATAATTGTATGACGTAATGGACTTTTGCCTGTATTTGATAAAGATGTTTTTGAGCGGGAAATTAGCCAAGAATCTCACTTCTTTTTATATAAAGAAATTATTCTAAATGAGACTAAAACATGGTTAAAACTCCAAAATAGGACCTGAAGTTTTAAATTGCCTAAATGGGACTCCTAATTACATTTTTACCCCAAATCCCCAACCCCCCCTTTTCCCCAATCCCTTTGCATCGATCGTGAGACCTGCGAGTACTTCCTCCCTTGCGACTCAACTGCCATGGACTCAGTTCAACCGCCCTCGATCGCAACTCGACCTGCTATCGCCGCCGCTGCTTGCTCGACGCCGGCCGCCTCCTCTTCATCGATTCTCGCATCGCCCCAACTCCACCAATGACGACCTCTGCAATTTTCCAGTCAAGTCAGGTATGTACTCTTCTTCTTCAAAGAAGAAAATGACATCTTCAAAGAGTAACAATGTCATTTGCATGACACTTTCGAAACAAAAATGACATATTTAAAGTGTCAATTTTTTGAGTAACAATGTCAGTTTCATGACATTTTGTCATCTTGACAAATGCAATGTCATAAAAGTGACAATTTTCTAATTACTTGAAATTTATGTCATTTGAGGTTCCAAATTAATCAAACTTAATAAATAAATAAAAAATTGAAATCTAAAGAAGAAGAAAACAGAGGACCCAAATAAAATTCAAATCCAAAACATCCAAAGAAATAGAGAATAGTGGATCAGAAATTTGAAGAGGATTAGAAGAAGAAGCAGAAGAGGAAGAAGAAGACTTACATGATCGTCAATGAGTGCAGGGTTGCCATCGACGGCGGAACTAGCGATGCGAGGCCACAGTCGATGGGGGGAAGCCTTCCATGGGAGGAAGAGATGTTCGGCGATGAATTGAAGAGTCGGCAGAGTGATGCGATGAATTGCAGGTTTTTTTTTTAATTAAGGGCAGTTTTGCCAGATTACCTCTTTTTAGTCCTATTTTGCCAAATAAAACATAGCAGTCTTATTTTTGCAATTCTACCTAGTTTTAGGCCTATTTAGGTAAATCACTCTTTTATATATAGATAGATTTCAGCTACCTCTTTACTATAGTTGATACGAGATTATATATACTACTTGGGCAATGTGTGCGATGATGACGTACCGCCCCCTGGTAAGTTAGAATATCAAGCCATTCACTTGTTGGCCCATCATCATTCACATTTTATGCCTGAATTTGAATTGCCATAGTTTGCACCAAATGCGCTTCGCGCTAAAAACGTGGACTCCCGCCAGCATCTTTGCTGGCTATCCGAACTTGCGCTTCGCCACATCTCTCACGCCCCTATGTTGTTCATACCGTCAAGTGTCGTCTGTTTGTGATTACTAGCCGAGCAAAATGGTTTTGTTCAATCGAACTTTGGTTTGGGTTGGTTTGATTTCACTAAAATAAAATGTTCCACAATATTCTCAAATCAAATGGTTTGGTTTGGTTTGATTTAAGCCAAAAATACGTAAATCAAACTAAACTATTTTTGATATTTATCAGGATATTTATATTTATCTTCAGTAGTCATCTTTAGAATATAAATTATTAGCCTACATATGATAAATACATGTTCATCATATGCTACATTTGACCGGAAAACTTTATATCATCTTAAGTTTTACACATTTGATACAATCATCATGATAAATTTTACACATTTCATAAATCATGTGATCAGTATGAACGATTTTTGGTGATGACAACAAACGTACATTGCATTTATATCAAATTCAATTAAATTACACTACTGAAGATGTTAAGTTTTCGCGGTCCATAGACCCAACACAGTCCCTTGGGTTTTCGTAGAATCTTTTGTGGATTTCATATGTCTTTTATTAAATGGTCCAAGTGAGTATGAAGGCAAGAACAATAATAGAAATGAAAGGACGTAAAGTGGGCCAAGTTTGATTATGGACATAGAACGATTACGACATCCTCACCGAGCCCGAATCCTGGCCCCTTGTTCTACATTGAAATATTACAAAAGAACTA